ACGATCAAAATTTTGTATGAGAGGGGAGCTCATGCTCTTTGCAACTGTGCTCAAAATGTTCGTTAATGTATACAAATGAAGGAGGTAGAAGCTCAAAACCAAAGTCACTCAAAATTTGAATTTTTCGTGTAGGGTCATAAAAAATCGGAAACTTGCAACAAAAATCAGAGCCGTCAGTACGTAAGTTTTTTCACAAGCTCTTTCCAACAGTGCAAAGTTTGCGCCGATTAAGCGTCTCTATGAAAAGTTATGATTTTCGAGCAAGCACTACAAAAGGGCGAATTTGATTTATTTTGGTATTTTTCAGGAAATTCATAACTTTTCACAGAAACGCTCAATCGGCGCAAACTTTGCACTGTTAAAAAGAGCTGGTGAAAGAACCTATAATACTGGCTGCTCCGATTTTTGTGGCAAGTTTCCGATTTTTTATGACCCTACACGAAAAATTCAAATTTTGAGTGATTTTGGTTTTGAGCTTCCATCTCCTTCATTTGTATACATTGACGAAAAGTTCAAGTACAATTGCAAAGGGCATGAGTTTCTCTCTTATACAAAATTTTGATCGTACAAATTCCTTGAGAATTTAAAGAGTTATGAATTTTTGAAAATCGTGCGCAAGAACTTTCGGGACGACCTAATACTTTGCGCTCCGTAAACGTAACCGTAAATGTGTTCGACCTGATAAAACGAAATGGAGCAGTGCTGTTTTGTGCTTTATATCTCGCTCTCTACAGCTCAAATCTTGGCATTAAAGCAAATCTTTTCAGAGGCCGAAGGAGATCCTGTTAAGGAAGTTGCTCGGAAAAACCATACTCTAATAGTATGTCTGTTTTATTGAGATGAAGAATAGACGATGCTCCTCTTGATCCTACTTCCGTTTGACTCATTTGATGCGCCTCAATTTCGGATGCTTCATAGTTTTTCACATATGTAGGACCATGATACGCCTTCAATTGAAGCTCATCCTTATGCGGCTGTGTCAATGATGCGGTCAGTTCACATGCGCAGTTTTTGGTTCGCATAGTTATGTACACAACTACACCCTAGTGTCAAACTTAGTTTGCTTTGATAACTTTTTTAACTTAATACGTATCCAGACTGCCATGTAATTAAGATTTTTTCGATATTTTCATAGCAACATTGTTTCTCTAATAAGGGAGTCTTACGAGGGAAGGATACTTGGTGACCGTGGCCTTTTGCAATGAGATGTATACCAGTAGGTGCGTCTTGGAAGGCTGATTGTAAATCTGTGTTCACTATTTAATGTGACTCCCTGAACGAAGTTATGGATTTTTTTCCACATTGATTTTGCGAGATTTAGGCAGTCAAAATCATCAGTACCCAGGTTTTAGACTCTGATGCATCGGTGATAGTTCTCCCGAGCTTAAAGGCAGTACATCGGCAGAATGAGACCCGTGACAAAACAAGGTCACAGGGTAAGAGCCCCCATATGGAACCTATCGGCCAAAGTCCGATCTTTCTCTGCCACTTCTAACCCCTGAAATTTCGAAGCGAAAGCAGCGCTCATCTCCTGTCCTCTCCGAACCCGCCCACCCCATGGACGAGTGAACGCGAAGCCCGTCATGGCGAAGACGCGGAGTCGTTGCGGGACCTAAGCTTATAGCATTGCGGCTGGCGTTCTGACCGCGGAAGTCACTCGTCCATGGAGTGGGCGGGTTTGGAGAGCATAGGAGATGAGCGCTGCTTTCGCTTTCAAATTTCGGGGGTTAGAAGTGGCAGATTATGAACAAAGATTCGGAACCAGCGCTTCATGATGCATTTAGTGGTGTACGTTTCCTTCTAAAAGGCCAAGGTCACCAAGTATCCTTTCCTTGTTAGATGAAAGAAGCTAATGCTTGAGTGGTGTGTTTTTGTGTGCTCCTTGACTTTCCAATATTTCGACTTGAGTAATTTTTGTCAATATTTTGTTTAAATAAAACATTAAGTTTTTTGTATATACTATGTAGCATGATCTAACTGAATATCACGACTATACGAGGGAACATTTTTCTTTCTAAAAAAGCGTTGTAGAACTTTGTCCTTGAATTAGCAGCTATGAGCAGTACTGTTGCAAATCATTGGGTCAAATTTGAGATATAGCTAGCTGATAATCCACAGCGTAAAAAAAACATAATATGATGCGCACAACTCTTATATCAGGCTTACCTGTTCTGCAGAATCACTGAACAAAGTGGGAAATGCATTCTTCTCGGTATCTTACTGAACAATTGGGAGACTTTGTGATTTTAGTTAGTAGGGCTTTGCTTCGTTTCCAATATCAGCTCTTCAGGTCTGCTCATATTACAATGCTGAGTACTCGAAAATCATGCACAAGTGATCTTGCCAAGCCAGTTTACCAAAAAATTAATAGATTCTCATCCCATTTTCGCATTTTTTCGTATGTGAGACCGGTGTAACTTTACGGAAAACGTGTAATTAAAGCTCACCTTCGAGCTTTCTGTTTTGATGGACTTACCAGAAATTATAAAGGGCTTATACTCATCATCAGTCACAAAAATGTTGAATAGCTTACCGCCAACATATTGTAAGGGGAAGAGCTTTGGAAGAATGCAACCGTGAGTTTGATGAGGCAGGTGCTGTCTATTCTCCCATCTGTATGAGGCCTCGAACAGAGTTCACGCTATTTGATTGTCGCGATTTTCATTCATTTTCAATTTACAGCCAAAAATTTCGCGCTGGAAAAGTATCATAACCGAAATGCAAGCTAATCGGCATGCAATGAACTCGTAACAGTTGTCTTGTAGCGATTGAATCGTGACGATCAAATCGCGTGAACTCTTTCCGAGAACTGACACAACAAACCTTTGTACGGTTTGTAAATGTCCAATTATATAATGGTTTGTAAATGTGCAGATACATGATGAGAAAAGGTTGAAGCTCTAGATGTTTAGTACTTTTGTGTCTGGCAGCGAGTAGGCCCTAACAAAAGAAGAAAAACGCTTCTCACTTTTGCAAACATTATGCTTAGTCTACGTAATTTTCGTTTTACGTCATCATAGTCGTCCAAAAAAATCATGGTCTGTTGTTTATAGCATAACTATGAGTTCAATGACTTGGTTTGATGAACAAATCTCTATATATATATACCTCATAAATTGTCTGTTTGGGGGCTATATAAGTTATAGAAACGTGCGCCATTCAACCGATTGGGCTGGAAGTTTGCACACAGATGTTTTCGACCCCGGAGACGGTTTTAGGTTACCTTTTACTGGAACTCGCTGGGTTCCTCTATCGATTTATTGATTTGTTTACGCTCTTCTAAGGAATTGAAGGCTTGTCATGTTTAATCAAGCATTTTCCCATAGTCATGTAAAGGAGGGCGGTGAAGCTCATTTTTACCTTAGGATTACAAGGATGCGGTTTTACAAGGATGCGGATGTTCCAAGGTAAGTCATCCATCCATACTATCCATATACTATTATATAAAGCGCTAGCACCCCCATGTGAGTCAGCATGGTGTGTGTATGTTCCGGTGTTGTTTACCACTAATGGCAGTATGTCAAATCCAAAGAACGACCAAGCAGTGATCCTTGAAATGTTGGATCCAAAGAACGATCAATCAGTGATTCTTGGCATTTGCCAGACGACCCATGCGTAAACAACTATTCTCAGAAAGTTCCAGAAAAGACGGTATGATGGTTGTGAGTACAAAAGTACAGTCTAGAACATATGTTGACTGAATCAGTCTCTCTCTACATTACTCCACTTAGGCTTCCAATCCATCAACACACTCGATTTCAAATTTGTTAGTATCTTCTACCGATTTGACGGTTTTTTCTAATTGCTCTGTCATTAATGCGCACCACTCCGTGTCTGAATTCCTCTTTCAAAATAACATTCATTGTAGCAAATGTATGCCTAAATTCTAAGTGCTGCTATGGCCGCCTTAATTGCGTCTGCGTGTTCAAGCTTTTGAGTGCTATAGTCATGTTTTAATCCTTGCTTCATCAGCCAAATTCGTTCCTCTTCTTTGTTTCTTCGCTATCGTTTCTTCGTCATTCTATCAGTGGTATTTATGCCGTCTTTACAAGAACCATTCAAAGTATTACAACTTTTCAAAATTCCTTTTTCATAAAGCGACAATTTTGAATCAACAACATGTAAAGGGTGAGCGAATGCTATCACTGTTATTCCATCCTTCTTTTTAGCATCTAAATCAACCAAAAGGTTCATCATCTTACGTAAATGTGATCAATGTTGTGATTTTCGAAGAAGGATTGAAAGATCAAGCTGAGTAGTTTAGATTTAACATTCATATTCATCGTATAGAAAAGTAATGGTATGGTAGTGTCTCTTTCACAAGTAACACGTAGGTCCCAATCATCTATCACCAAGACCTTTTTCCTTTACTTTGTACTTGAGGAATGATCAAAATCTCTGTAATACCATGTAAGCGAATCTCTACTTAATGCTGTGGTTTTGTAGAATGGCTGAAAATCTTTTCGTTAAAAATTCACAATTTTTTAGCAGAACACGATTGGTAGTGAATTACTGAAAAAACATGTATAACATCTGTAAATTTGAACCCTTTCCTTTTTTTGGCTTGGGAATGATCCAACATGATTGAAAATCAATGCTTATTCATTTGTCTGAAAAATGGTTAGAATTTTCTTGCTGTGATCTAAATTCTAATTTTTATATCAAATTCATTCATCAAAAAGACAGCTGTGTTAGTGCCTCTTCGAACAAGAAACAGATAGGCCCAACCATTTATCCACCCGGCTCTTTCTCTTTTTACTTAACAAATGATCCAAAATGGGAATGGACTGTAGTGTTGCTATTTTCAAAAAATGGTTGAGAACCTTATGCTGATCACATAGCAATCCAATTCATAGAATGATGTGATTCGTAAAGAAATATTCATGACTATTTTGGATGTTTTTGATCATTACAAATGACCTCAGGTAATTTGAATGCTGTAAGCGGTTGAAATTGGCGAGATGTCAATAGCTACTGAAATTCTTTTTTTTTCACTCAGAACCTGTTTTACTCTGCAATGCAGTCGGAGCCAGAGATGACATGTAGTCCTCAACAGCAGTCAGAAACGAATGAGGTGAGTATCTGATGCATTTTCTGCATCATGTAAGCTGTATTTTTCTATCCAGCTACTGCAACCAAGTGAACACTCGGGTTTGTCAAGAAAACGGTCTTCAGATGTAAATGAGGCAAGAGTTGCATACTGAGTGTTTATTAGCATCAGCTATACCAGATTGTTACAGCCGTTTGAACCGCCGAGCAACACCTTCGATGTACTGTCAAAAACAATGCATGAGGTGCTTTGAGAATTGGATACGTTATGGCATACAGATTATCTGTACTTATATTTATCAACCTCCATTGCAGATGCAGCAACCAAGTTGTTCCCAGCAGCATCTGCGAACGTCGACCTCAGACGAAAATCAATTCGAACTCGCGCAAGGTCCTCAAACAAAGTCTGAACGGGTCGCGCTTAGCAGATCTAATGAAACTGCAGAAAGGCGTGCCTCGCGCCTACAAGCCAACGCAAAAAGAGCTAGATTGATAAGATTAAAAGAATCTGCACAGCAGAGAGCGCAACGCCTTGCAAAGAACGCGGAAAAGCAGAGAAAAAGGAGATCGGACGAAACGGAGGAAGAGCGTCTGCTGCGCTTGCGTAACAGAAGGATACAACGAGCTCAAGTCAACTTAGGGGAAAAAGCTCAGGAGAAAAATTACGAGCAGAGTTCTGATCCACATACTATAAGCGCAGAGGACGGAGACACGATAGGCATGCATTCTTTTATTTGCAAAACCTCCTAGAAGCATGCTTTTCGAAGCTTCATTGTACTGCATTTCGAACGACCAATGGCAAATCCGTTACATATAAGATAATCACCAGTAGCAGTGCACTACTCCTGTAATTTCCTTTCTAGATCAATGCAACACAGTGTTTTAGAGAAGAGGCTACTTGCAGCCAGAACCTGGTATTATATAAAGCGCTAGCACCCCCATGTGAGTCAGCATGGTGTGTGTATGTTCCGGTGTTGTTTACCACTAATGGCAGTATGTCGGATCCAAAGAACGACCAAGCAGTGATCCTTGAAATGTTGGATCCAAAGAACGATCAATCAGTGATTCTTGGCATTTGCCAGACGACCCATGCGTAAACAACTATTCTCAGAAAGTTCCAGAAAAGACGGTATGATGGTTGTGAGTAAAAAAGTACAGTCTAGAACATATGTTGACTGAATCAGTCTCTCTCTACATTACTCCACTTAGGCTTCCAATCCATCAACACACTCGATTTCAAATTTGTTAGTATCTTCTACCGATTTGACGGTTTTTTCTAATTGCTCTGTCATTAATGCGCACCACTCCGTGTCTGAATTCCTCTTTCAAAATAACATTCATTGTAGCAAATGTATGCCTAAATTCTAAGTGCTGCTATGGCCGCCTTAATTGCGTCTGCGTGTTCAAGCTTTTGAGTGCTATAGTCATGTTTTAATCCTTGCTTCATCAGCCAAATTCGTTCCTCTTCTTTGTTTCTTCGCTATCGTTTCTTCGTCATTCTATCAGTGGTATTTATGCCGTCTTTACAAGAACCATTCAAAGTATTACAACTTTTCAAAATTCCTTTTTCATAAAGCGACAATTTTGAATCAACAACATGTAAAGGGTGAGCGAATGCTATCACTGTTATTCCATCCTTCTTTTTAGCATCTAAATCAACCAAAAGGTTCATCATCTTACGTAAATGTGATCAATGTTGTGATTTTCGAAGAAGGATTGAAAGATCAAGCTGAGTAGTTTAGATTTAACATTCATATTCATCGTATAGAAAAGTAATGGTATGGTAGTGTCTCTTTCACAAGTAACACGTAGGTCCCAATCATCTATCACCAAGACCTTTTTCCTTTACTTTGTACTTGAGGAATGATCAAAATCTCTGTAATACCATGTAAGCGAATCTCTACTTAATGCTGTGGTTTTGTAGAATGGCTGAAAATCTTTTCGTTAAAAATTCACAATTTTTTAGCAGAACACGATTGGTAGTGAATTACTGAAAAAACATGTATAACATCTGTAAATTTGAACCCTTTCCTTTTTTTGGCTTGGGAATGATCCAACATGATTGAAAATCAATGCTTATTCATTTGTCTGAAAAATGGTTAGAATTTTCTTGCTGTGATCTAAATTCTAATTTTTATATCAAATTCATTCATCAAAAAGACAGCTGTGTTAGTGCCTCTTCGAACAAGAAACAGATAGGCCCAACCATTTATCCACCCGGCTCTTTCTCTTTTTACTTAACAAATGATCCAAAATGGGAATGGACTGTAGTGTTGCTATTTTCAAAAAATGGTTGAGAACCTTATGCTGATCACATAGCAATCCAATTCATAGAATGATGTGATTCGTAAAGAAATATTCATGACTATTTTGGATGTTTTTGATCATTACAAATGACCTCAGGTAATTTGAATGCTGTAAGCGGTTGAAATTGGCGAGATGTCAATAGCTACTGAAATTCTTTTTTTTTCACTCAGAACCTGTTTTACTCTGCAATGCAGTCGGAGCCAGAGATGACATGTAGTCCTCAACAGCAGTCAGAAACGAATGAGGTGAGTATCTGATGCATTTTCTGCATCATGTAAGCTGTATTTTTCTATCCAGCTACTGCAACCAAGTGAACACTCGGGTTTGTCAAGAAAACGGTCTTCAGATGTAAATGAGGCAAGAGTTGCATACTGAGTGTTTATTAGCATCAGCTATACCAGATTGTTACAGCCGTTTGAACCGCCGAGCAACACCTTCGATGTACTGTCAAAAACAATGCATGAGGTGCTTTGAGAATTGGATACGTTATGGCATACAGATTATCTGTACTTATATTTATCAACCTCCATTGCAGATGCAGCAACCAAGTTGTTCCCAGCAGCATCTGCGAACGTCGACCTCAGACGAAAATCAATTCGAACTCGCGCAAGGTCCTCAAACAAAGTCTGAACGGGTCGCGCTTAGCAGATCTAATGAAACTGCAGAAAGGCGTGCCTCGCGCCTACAAGCCAACGCAAAAAGAGCTAGATTGATAAGATTAAAAGAATCTGCACAGCAGAGAGCGCAACGCCTTGCAAAGAACGCGGAAAAGCAGAGAAAAAGGAGATCGGACGAAACGGAGGAAGAGCGTCTGCTGCGCTTGCGTAACAGAAGGATACAACGAGCTCAAGTCAACTTAGGGGAAAAAGCTCAGGAGAAAAATTACGAGCAGAGTTCTGATCCACATACTATAAGCGCAGAGGACGGAGACACGATAGGCATGCATTCTTTTATTTGCAAAACCTCCTAGAAGCATGCTTTTCGAAGCTTCATTGTACTGCATTTCGAACGACCAATGGCAAATCCGTTACATATAAGATAATCACCAGTAGCAGTGCACTACTCCTGTAATTTCCTTTCTAGATCAATGCAACACAGTGTTTTAGAGAAGAGGCTACTTGCAGCCAGAACCTGGCAACTCAGGCAAGTTTTAAGCTGTCTGTAGCGTTATAGGATCATATACGATTACGCTTTAGGCGGATTTGATGCAGTGCTCGAGTGAACGCCGAGTGACTACGTTGTTTTATTCTGATGATAACAAGGGAATTCGACATGGTTCACTCTCAGCTGAGCTGCGTGCAGATGAACAGGTTGACGATTAGTCTAGCATCCTTACGACGTTAATCAGAATGTATTTTTTAAAGGATGATGCTCCAGCAACTTCAAATTCCCAGGTGAATATGGTCCCAGGAAAATCGAGTGAGGTATGGCGGCTAGCAGCTTATAATTTCTGTTCTAAGAAAATCTGTTAATGTTTTACCTTCGATTTAGGTGACTAACTCTCAAACCTTACAACACAATACAGAAGTGCGCTGGAATGATACAAACGACGAAAACTGCTACTTTCCAGTCATTCAAAATCTAGAAGTCGATGTATGTGAAAGTGAGCGTGCAGCCACCCCAGAAGAAAACGAAAGCGCGGTAAGTTCGCATCGCAGTAGTTCCATTTTAACACTTATTACAGCTTTTAGAAGGGATATGTATCGGAGAGGCTTCCATCCAATGAAACCATCATTTCACAACGAGCCGAAAATCAGGTACGATAGTCACTGCAAACATATCGTTTTAATGCGAAAAAATTACCTCTTATTAAGATAAGCGCAACTGGAAACGCTGTACAGCATCGGCAAAGATCTATTCCTAATTTACGTATAGCTTTGACTGTGAACAACGTAGAGGAGAACTACTTAGGGTCTCTGAGAGTGGCCTGCAGTCACTGCGGGGCTTTTTATTTTTCCGGTGAAGCTAGACGAGTCAACGGATGTTTCAACGCCTGCTGTAATTTCGGCAACATCTCTTTGAATTTGTTTTCGGAATTTCCGGAACTTATTCTTTCTTTCTTCACCGGAACTGACAGTATTTGCAAGAACTTCCTCCAGCACATACGATCCTATAACAGTGCCCTTGCCATGGCTTCAATGGGGGCCCAGGTGGATACGCCGCGTGGTTCTGGGCCATACTGTTATAGGATCCATGGCCAAGTGTATCATTACGTTGGTCCCTTAACACCGAAGCAAGGAATTCGTCCACAGTTTGGTCAAGTGTACATACTGGACACAGAATCTGCAGCGGCTGAAAGGAGTGGAAACCCAGCGAATGTGCAATGCAATGCTGCTGTGATGCAGCAGTTAACATTATGGCTGCATACTCACAACAGTTATGCAGCTTCACTCAAAATGATGGGAGACGTGGCTGCGGAGGAGGAGCAGCGAGCTCGTGCGGAAGGAAGAGAGGTACCAACGATTCGCATGATCTTTGAAGATGCTTCGAATCTCGACCGCCGACGCTACAATGTCCCCGCAGCGAATGAGATAGCGGTTGTCTATGTTGGAGAAGATAACGATGTTCCGGCCACCCGAGCGCTTGCTATTCATCACAGGAGAGACGGTCTACAAGTCATTCGAGATATCGACGGTTGCTGCGACCATTTAACTTACCCGCTGCTGTTTCCTAGAGGAGGAAGCAGACTGGCCAGGAAACAGATTTGACGAAGAATCCGAGCAGCCGCACTCGCAAACAAACAGAGGATTGTGTTGGCATGTGGATTTGACGAAGAATCCGAGCAGCCGCACTCGCACTAGAATCACGCAGCGCGAGTTCTATTCCAGTCTTCTTGCGCTACGATCTTCCTTCAACCCCCTTCACTATGCCGGCAAATTGCTGCAGCAATTTGTGGTTGATGCATATGTGAAGATTGAGCAGAACCGTTTGAATTACATGCGCACACATCAGAAGGAGCTCCGAGTCGACAGTTACAGAGGACTCATGGATCACTTGGCCAGCGACATTGTAGATGGACCTCCGGGACAGCGCTTCATCCTTCCATCTTCAATTCCTGGCAGTCCCCGTGCCATGTATCAGTCCTATCAAGACGCGATGTCTATTGTCGCCAAATATGGCAAACCTGACTACTTCTTGACGTTCACGTGCAACCCTCAGTGGCAGGAAATTAACGAAAATCTGTTTCCTGGCCAGTCTGCTTCCGACCGACCTGACTTGGTTGCTCGTGTGTTTCATCGAAAGTTGAAGGTATTGCACGAGCATCTTTTCGAGAAGAAAGTGTTGGGATCTGTTGCTGCTTATGTAGGAATCATAGAATGGCAAAAACGTGGACTTCCTCATTGTCATATGCTTCTCATAATGTCTACAGATGCTAAACCGAGGAGTCCCGAAGAAGTCGACGCAGCTGTTCAAGCGCAAATTCCAAGCGCCTCCGAGGAATCCCCGTCTTTTGAGCATCGTTGCAAGAAATATGATTCATCGTCAGTGCGGAGCAACAAATCCGACTGCGCCATGTATGGTGAAGGGAGAGTGCTCAAAGCGTTATCCTAAGGAGTATCGAGAAACAACTGATGTTGATGTAGACGGCTATCCTAAATACAGAAGGCCCGACAATGGATGCACCGTAACTACTGGAGGAAAAATCTATGACAACAGGCATGTTGTGCCTTACAATAGCTATCTCCTGCTCCTTCTCAATGCACAATTTGGAAATATGCGGTTACTTAGAGGCAGTGAAGTACTTATATAAGTACGTGTATAAGGGACCAGATCGAGCTTCACTGCGGCTGCTGCAACAAGATCGTAACCAAAAGTTCGATGAGATTAGGGCTCATCTTGATGCCCGATATGTGTGCGCACCGGAAGCTTTGCATCATATTTTCTCATATGAGTGCCAGTTCAAATCTGACACTGTTTATCGTTTGGCAGTCCATCTTCCTGATTTCCAAACGGTGACGTTCCAGTCAGGGCAAGAACGCGAGGCAGCAGTGCGCGAAGCAGCCAGAGATTCCATGCTTACAGCATGGTTCAAGCTAAATATTGAATATGAAAATATGGGAGAAAATGCTGCAGAATCTGCAATGGTAGACCCGCGAACACTCTACTACCATCAGCTACCAGAGCATTTCACTTTTGTAAAAGAACGCAAATGGAAAAGAAGAGAAAGGGGTACCCGTCAATTTGGCCGCATGTACACTGTTCCACCTAATGACACGGAGAGGTTCAGTTTGCGCATGATACTCCTTCACCGGAAAAATATGCGTTCTTTCGAAGATCTTCGAACAGTTGAAGGTCGTCTGCATCCAACATTTTTGGATGCGGCACGTGCTTTAGGTCTCTTGCACGACGATTCTCACTACGAAAGCTGCCTGGAGGAAGCTGCAAGATTTCAGATGCCTGCGGAACTGCGAGCATTGTTTAGTTACATGCTCGCGTTTTGTGAGATTTCTAATCCACGAAATCTGTACGATCGTTTTAAAAGCGACATGGCTGAGGATTTTATATACAGAGGATCAACGGCGTCCGAAGCTGAAGCACTTGCTTATTTCGACCTGTATGACAAATTGCAAACTCTCCGCTACGACCTCTCTGTAAACATTCCCCTGCCTGTGCGAGTCGACCAGTATTGCCGGATCAGACTGATAATGCCTACCATGATCAAAAAGGCAAGGAGATGTACCATCTGAACCAGCAACAGAAATTGGCAGCAGTTGACATCCTAGCCTCTCCCGTTTTTGGGCGGGGTAAACTTCACTTCGTCGACGGTCCTGGAGGTAGCGGAAAGACATATCTGTACAATGCCATATACCACATTTTGAAAGGAAAGCGCAAGTCTGTCGTCTGCGTGGCCTGGACAGGCATCGCTGCCAATCTTCTACCTGAAGGCCGCACAGCCAGCTCCACGTTCAAACTTAATATGAAGTCTGGCAACCGGGAATGTACAATGCGTCGAGAAGCCAAGGAAGCGACCGTATTGAAGGAAGCTGATACCATCATTTGGGACGAGATTAGTATGGTTCCAGAATTTTCGCTTAAAGCAGTCAATCTTCTTCTACAAGACCTGATGTGCACAACCGAGCTTTTTGGAGGGAAAACTGTGGTGTTAGGCGGTGACTTTCGACAAGTTTTGCCAATCATAGAGCGTGGAAGAGAGTGCGACATGGTTGACGCATGCGTGAAAAATAGTAAACTTTGGAAATCATTCCGTGTACATCGCTTATCAGTCAATATGAGGGCTGCAGAATCAGGCTCCTCTTGGTGCGATTTTCTAATGAGCGTAGGAAATGGAGAAGCAAGTGAAGACGAAATGGGTCGAATACAGCTTCCGACCGAGATAGTTTCTGATGGGAATCTTATTGATGAGGTCTTCGGTGATTTACTCACTGATTTTGAAACTCTCAGTGAACGTGCAATACTGACACCGCGGAATGTAGAAGCACATAGGATCAACGAAGAAGTTTTGG